CACACACACACACACACACACACACACACACACACACACACACACACACACACACACACACACACACACACACACACACACCACCTCCATCGCTCACTTTCGCTCCGGAGGGGGGGAGGGGCGCAGAGCTTACACATGAACGAAACAAACACAACCCTAAAAACATGACACCCCACCACCCCTTCTCCTCCTTCAATCCTCCTTTTCCAACCCAACAGAACCACCTGAGCTCTTTGTGTCCCATCAGAACCGGATCAGATGTAAAAAAAAATAAATAAATCATAAAGCTGATTTAAATACTTCTCATGTCAGCTCCTCATTAGGTCCCGTCCCCACGCTGCCTCTCAGGTCTCAGGCACAAAGGCGTCTTTGTTTTAACGTCTTTTTTTTTTCTTTTTTCAAATTAGCCCAGAAAATATGCAGGGCTGAGCGCATCTGGAGGTGCTGATGGTTGGACTTCATTTTGCAAGGAGTGTGGGTTTATCAGCCACATCTATGAATGTGATATTTGTAGATATTTAAAAGGGAGTTCCACAAAACATCACTTTTACAGATTCCTCATGCATTACAGAATCAGTTTGGATTATGCACGCATGTCAGCTTTGGAAAATCAAATCCTACCTCTGATAACACAATGTGTCTGTTTTTTTTTTTGTTTTTTTTTTTCTAAAAATGAAATTAGGGTCTGATGCATGTGTGGGGCAGATGGGACTCCCTCCCTCGCATCCTCGGTCCCCCAGCATCAGTCCACCTTCCAGCKAACAGATGGAGTCACAGGAAAATACCAGGTTGCTCCTATAATCTGCTGCGCGACACACAAACTCATCTACTCTCCACTTCCTAATCTGTTTTCACAGACGACATCAGCTTAAAGTATCTTCTATTGTTGTTGTCAACAAAGAGCTTTAGAAAACAAGCTCATCACAGGACATTTCAGTTCTTCTTCACTTCTTTTTTTTCCCTCATGTTGCTGGTTTATGTGACCTTAAAAAAAAAAAAAACTGTAAACAAAATTTGTGAACAGCTGACAACTAGCAGGTGTGTTTGTTTAAAAGAGATTATTTAACCAGCGTATAAAATATAATTGATGCAGATTGGTAACGTGACTCAAGATGCCATTCAGCTGAGTGATTGTTTACATTGAGTGTGGACCCGCATTTCAGAATTACGTCTCAGTAGCTCTGGAAAACGACAAGAGCAAAAATGTTTCAAACGCCGCAATTTGTTAGGTCAACGTATTTTTTTATGTTTGATTTTTAGTTTGCATACACACTGAGCTCAAAAAGTAGCTATAGGGCAGCTAGAAGCTAAAAGTAGCTAAAGCTATCATCATAGCTAAATATAGCAAAAGGCATCAAAGCTAAAATGTTGGCATCAAWGYAGGGCTGCACGATATCAGGAAAACCTGCRATGTGCGATACCAGGGTTTGATATCGCAATGATGATACGACTTACGATAAATGAAAAAAACTTAATATGCAGTGTTGATGGCTCTCTTTCTCTGGGTTCAGAGCTAATAAACAACAAACACATCATTTCAATTACAACATGACAGTGATTATCATTTCATGTGGTTTCTCTGCTCCATTTTGTTTATCAGACTGATGCTGACAAAACACATAAATGCAAACGTTAAAGCTAACCAGTTATTGCAAACTTTTTTGCACTTTTTGCAATATGTTTATTGCACAGGTTGTTATCGCGATGACACAATTGCGATATATTATGCAACCCTGCATCAAAGCCAATCATAGCAAAAGGTAGGAATCAAAGCTAAAAACAGTTAAAGTAGCATAATGATAGCTAAACATTGCAAAAGGACTGCTAAAAGCTAAATGTAGCATAAGGCTAGCTAAAAGCTAAAAGTAACTAAAAGATAACAGTAGAAAGGTTGTTGCCAAAAATAACAAAAGGCTAGCTAACCACTAAATGTAGCAAAGACTAGCTAAAAGCCAAATGTAGCAAAATGGTAGCTAAAAGTAGCAAAAGACTAGCTAAAAGCTAAATGTAGCATAAGGCTAGCTAAAAGTAACTTAAAGATAACAGTAGAAAAGTTGTTGCCAAAAATAACAAAAGGCTAGCAAACCACTAAATGTGGCAAAGACTAGCTAAAAGCCAAATGTAGCAAAATGGTAGCTAAAAGTAGGAAAAGACTAGCTAAAAGCTAAATGTAGCATAAGGCTAGCTAAAAGCTAAAAGTAACTAATAGATAATAGTAGAAAATTGTTGCCAAAAATAACATAAGGCTAGCTAACCACTAAATGTAGCAAAGACTAGCTAAAGCCAAATGTAGCAAAATGGTAGCTAAAAGTAGCAAAAGATTAGCTAAAGGCTAAATGCAGCATAAGGCTAGCTAAAAGCTAAAAGTAACTAAAGCATAACAGTAGAAAAGTTGTTGCCAAAAACAACAAAAGGCTAGCTAACCACTAAAAGTAGCAAAGACTAGCTAAAGCCAAATGTAGCAAAATGGTAGCTAAAAGTAGCAAAAGACTAGCTAAATGCTAAACGTAGCATAAGACTAGCTAAAAGTAACTAAAAGATAATAGTAGAAAAGTTGTTGCCAAAAATAACAAAAGGTTAGCTAACCACTAAATGTAGCAAAGACTAGCTAAAAGCAAAATGTAGCAAAATGGTAGCTAAAAGTAGCAAAAGACTAGCTAAAAGCTAAATGTAGCTAATAGTCAAAAGTAGCAGAATGGTACGTACAAGTAGTAGGCATGCTGAAGCGAAAGAGGAAAATGGTTTTTGACGGAATTGACGAGCTCTAGATGTATTTCTATATGGAAAATATTTGTAAACAAAGAAAATACTTCAAAAAGTCTATAAAAAGTACAAAAAGCAAAAGTCATGAAACTCATCTGCTATACAAGCTGAAGGTTTTCGTGTGTGAATGCACAAATAATTCAGAAGTAATAGAAAGAAAAATAAATAAATCAAACGTGAACAATCCTCTGCTGAATCAGTATTTACACAATAAGTCTCCTGAACAACACAGATGAAGCAGACATAACCTGACTGTCTGTGCGCATCTGACGTGACAGGACTCAGCAGCAAGAAGGAAAACATCAGTTTCGAAATATGGAACACAGATTTGTTTTCTATAACATGAGAGAAACCTCCTTCCACCTTCAGGTTTGTCGTCCTCAGGCAGCTTTCCTTCTGAACGCATCCTGCTGTAATCTGCTCCGGTTGTGTCTGCGTGCATAAATCAGCAGCTTTTGTCAGACTGTGTGAAGATTTCCACGCAAACCCTGAGAAAGAGCCAACTTTTACTAATCGCTTCTGAGGGGGGAAAAAAAAAAAATCAAGGGCAACTTTCTCTCGAGGCACGAAGGCAACGCTACCTGATTATCAGTGTGTCTGCAGCTATAAGTGTTCCCTTTATGATCCCTGCCGCAGGTAATAAAATATTATTTTAGAAAACATCGCTGCGTTTGCATCCAAGCAATCAATCAATCAGGTCGTTTCGTTAGAGGGAGAGAAAAGTCCTACTTACGATTTTAATGGATTATGAATGACAGTCGCCATCTTTCTGCAAGAATGTAAGGCAATATTCTAAATCTGTGTGCAGTTTTTGGGACCCTTCTTTAAAAAAAAAAAAAAAAAAAAAAAAAAAAAAAAAAAAACAGCCAATGCTGCCTTGTCCTCTGTGCTTCCTGCCAATACAACACCAGCATCCAGGCATTGTGGGCGTGGCTTCTGTGAAATATGTCAACAGACCCTCTGCTGCAAACATCCCAATGAACAAAGCTTCAAAATTATGATGGATATTAATTTCAAGCGATTTAGTTATCTATTTACAAACAGTGAGTTTTATTGTTTTAAAGCAGTTTTGAACAATCAAGCCATAATTCGCCTTTATTAATATCACCTAATAGGCACGACCTCTTGGTCTAAATACATAAAATAGATTCGTGTTTTTTTATTTTTTTTGTTCAAAACAGCTGCAGCATTCAATGCCCCTCGGAAATAAAAACACAAAAAGTATTCGCGATTCATGCGCAATATAATTAATAACAAAAGTGCTTCATGTTTTGCTGTGTTAACTTTAGCTATTAGCAATAGAAGCTTGTTTACATTCACGTACGTGACTTTTTTCTTTTTTGTAAAATCAATAAATAACACCTAAGATTAATAAACAATAACAGGACTTGTCGTGTTTTTATGTTTTACAGTTAGTACCTAATTTTACTATTAAATTGGGACATCGAGATTGACCGATAAAAATCATCATTAATGAATTTTGACTTATTACGACTTTAATTAGATTTTTCCTAAATGAAGTTAAAAATTCCTGACTTGGCAAATGACTGTAAATGCAACAGTAGCGTATAAAAATCAGCCAATGGATGATTGAAACGTCACATGTTTGTTGTTAGAAATAAGCCAATGAAACACGTGGAAGGGCGGGGAATCAAATGGTGCGTTTGGAGACATTTAGAAACTCTGAAAAATGTACTTCTGATTTAAATGAAGTCATATTAAAACCAAACCAAAAATTGCTTAATTTGTCACTACTCACATTGACAACTTTTTTCTTAACAAAACATATACTTTTTAAACAGTTAACTGTAAAGCATTTATTTCGATGCAAATAATGCAACAAAAAGCATCAGCTGTGTCTATTTTAATTCACGTGTCTCTTAAGTGGATTGCGTTACTGTTGACCACTATTTGAAAATCAAATAAATCAAAGAGAACAACTGTTTTTTTTTTCACATCAAAATCCAAGTTATGGGAAAATATTAGTATTCGACCTGTTTTGTAATTTCCGAGTTTCATTAAACGCCACATCACTGTGAAAGCGATAGCTCGAGAGGTTTGACAATTGTATTTTACTATTAGTAATACTAATTTATTAAAAGTTATAAGTTTTTATCCTTAACCGTGTTTAGCAATATTATACAGCAGTCGTTATAAATAACATTTTAAAAGTATATAATCAGCATTTAACGCGTTTCCACAACTCCGAAGCTAACGTGTTGCTAACTAGCTAAACAAGTAAACACGCTGCACCTCGTCGCCGAGAACGTGATGTGACAAAACTGACTCTGGGAGCCAAGAAAAAAAGGATGGGAAAGTGGAACAGGAAACCAGGTCGTCGCCAGGGGTGGCACAGAAGCACCCGTCAAACTCGAGGCGACGAACAGTGGTAATTTCGTTAAAGTATTCAGTCAGACAGCGTTTAAAACCACGTCTTAAAGCTTAATTAGCTTCTTCTTGTGTTTTTGATCTGTTCACAGGTATGATAATAATGAAGCAGGACCATCAAACAGAGCTTCGAGCTCTGATCACCAGTCTTCCTCTAAAACTAGCAATGCAGCACCAGGTATGTGACTCGCTGTATGGCAGTCAGTTGTAATATATAATATAAAATCTAACCATGCTTCTAGTTTTAATTACTTTTTATCAGTGGTTTCTAAAGTTGAGTTTGGGACCCCTCAATGATGCACCAAGTAAAGGGTCTTGAGAGGATTTCTAAACTCAAACACTGTTATGAACTGGTTGCTAATGATCTATATTTTTTGTAATTGTTAGAATATTTTAAAGCAGAAGCCATAGATGTCCATATTTGATTTAGTTGTTTGTGATGTGTGGTTGTAGAGATTGAGATAGGGATTCAAATTGCTTTTCGTTCCATTAGAGCTGCCTGGTTTCTACTTCGACCCGGAGAAGAACCGCTACTTCCGTCTGCTGCCCGGACACAACAACTGTAACCCACTGACCCGGGAGCAGCTGCGAGAGAAGGAACGGGAGAAACGGAGGCATGAGATGCTCGCAGAAGATGACAAGCCCAGAAAAGTACGTCTTGTTTTCTGTGCAGTGTGCGTTTTGCATACAGCAGGTAAAATAAGTATTGAACACGTCAACATTTTTCTCAGTAAATATATTACTAGAGGTGCTAATGACATGAAATGTTCACCAGATGT